AAAGACATTATACATAAGGGCGAATAATATTATTACGGCGAATGCAAAATAATACATAATACAATTACTTTATACATAAAACAAAGAAATTATAAAGCTATACAAACAGTTTAACCGCATAAGTTTCTTTTTTATTTATGAAAAATCATTTTTAATTTCAAAGAGAAATATTTAATATTTCTAACTTTTGGATGACGTATGAAAAGGTTGAATATATGAAGAGTGATGGTCTATATATGAATGGATGACGTATGGAAGGGTGAAAAATATGAAGAGTAATGGCGAACGGAAAAATAAAAGTGTCCAGGAGCGGGAATCGAACCCACAATCTTCTGCTTACCGGGCAGGTGCCATGTCCACTAGGCTATCCTGGACGTATTTCTCCGTTCGTAACTAATAACACCATGGCACCTGCCCGGTAAGCAGAAGGTTGTGGGTTCGATTCCCGCTCCTGGACACTTTTATTTTTCCGTTCGCCATTACTCTTCATATTTTTCACCCTTCAATACGTCATCCATTCATATATAGACCATCACTCTTCATATATTCAACCTTTTCATACGTCATCCAAAAGTTAGAAATATTAAATATTTCTCTTTGAAATTAAAAATGATTTTTCATAAATAAAAAAGAAACTTATGCGGCTAAACTGTTTGTATAGCTTTATAATTATACGCCGCAGTCATTTATAAGTATTAAAGAAATTATACATAACATCGAATAATATTATTACGGTGAATATATAATAATACATAATACAATTACTTTATACATAATACAAAGACATTATACATAACAGCCAATAATATTGATATTTCAATTTTTTGCAAGTGTTTACGAACTTTTGGGACAACCTTGTATATCAATGCTATTGGTATATATCAAAGCAGTATATATATTAAACTGAACTAATTTAAAACCATTAAATAAAACCACTTAAACGAGCCAATAGCACCAATTGAAAAGAAGTTAACAATTAAATCAATATCAAGAAGGCGGGAAAGAACAAGCACAAATAAAAATGTCCACCCGTCGTGTCGAGCCATAATTGTGACGGACGCCGCCAAAGAACCACATCAAAGAGCACAAAACAGCGCTTCGATTGGCCGAACTGTCGGCCTGAGGAAAAACAAAATGTTGCAGCGATTCTCTCCAAAAGCCATTAAAGAATTCTAAAGAAAATCGAAAGAAAAACGAAGGAGAAAGAGAGAAAAAAAGAAAAAAAAAAGGCTCTAGAAATAATGGGATTTGGGAGAGCAAAGATTCAATCTCGACTTGGCTCCAGTGATGTCGATTACAAATTAAACCTTGGCAGGTTATTTAATTAGAGCATTAATTGGTCCAATGGTGGGCGGAGTTGGACACAGTACTTTATTTACATAGTGGCAAACTACTTAGTTATTCCAACGTTTCAACCACCCGCTTTGTTCCGGCCCGGATTTATTTGAAACAATCTAAAAGGATAAATGCGCTGTGTCACTTTAAATTCCAACATATACCATTCGGCATAAATAGTGCTACCGTCAAATTATACCATCATTATAAATAAGATAAAACCTTTTGACATAATTTCATTTTGAAGATTTTTAAAATTAATATATAAACTTATTGGGAATGTGAAGTGTGAAATTGTACTGGGATCAGGGGAATAAATTAAGAAAAAAAGGTATCTCATGATCGTGCACATAAATTTGCTGATGGCTTGCACCATCTGCGGGAATAAATGTCTTATCTGAATTAATATTTGGCCAAATATTGAGTCAATTCTGGAATTATTAAAATCAACGATTAGTTGATATTTAATCCGACAGATGGCGCAAGCCATCAGCAACTTTTAGTTGCAAGATCCGAAGATGCCTTTTTTCCCCATATTGTATACGATAAAAAATATCTTTCACATATATATAATAATATATCCCAATTTCCTATATTTGAGTGCATACCCTAATATTGGTTGGAATATTACTGCAGATTTTAAACAAAAGCCTGATTTCTATTTTCATTAAAATTAAATATTAAAACCAGTAAATATAAGGTTATCCCAAAAGTTTGAAAATATATCATGATTTATATTTTGCAAGTATTAACCAACTTTTGGGACAACCTTGTAATTCTGAAACTTGGCCCACCTACTGATTGACTACCCTTGATATAGAACATCAGAGATTAAATCATTCTTCTATAATAATTCTGTTATAATTTTACCAAGGTTATCAATATTACCAAGGTTGTCCCAAAAGTTTGTAAACACAAAATATGAATCATAATATGTTTATACGAACTTTTGGGACAACCTTATAAGTTAAAAAGTGTAATATTTATAATCAAATAACGTAAAACAAAGGAAGATGAGTTTCTTTTTCAAAAAAGAAACTCATCTTCCTTTGTTTTACGTTATTTGATTATCCAAACAGGAAGAGTTCTATCGCTTGTAATATTTATACATAACAGGTGAAATTGGTTTTTATATTGTTATAAACTATCGATGTTATAATACTTTTTGAGCTTCTGTAAAGATCATGAATAGAAAGAGTATATCAGGGTATAATAATTTATAAAAAATATATATCAATTTTCTTTGCAATATAACAGATAATTTATGATATTTTTTGAAATATTTTACAGTTTTTTGCTTTTAATTCAATGACGGTTTCAAATAGGAATCTGAACATTTGGATTTCATGCTCATTTGAAGTCTTACACGATTTCTGAAAAAGACTCAACTCTCAATAAGTTCAGAGGCAGTAATTGGCACCAATTGGAGACAACCAGAATCCTGTTACTGCTTCTGGAGAAAAAGTTCCGAGCCGGAGCCCTTGACCCCAGCGATCCAGGACAACCACCAGACCGACTCCAATATTATTAGGAAGGTAGGGTATACTATATTTTCATGCTTGAGTATTTGTAGAAATGCAAATATCCTCTTTGCATACTCAATTATTAGATAATAAAAAGGCATATATTGGATTTAATAAAAGATTTATTTTGCCAATATTTCGGTTGGCTGAACGCCAACCTTTATAAAGGCATTACATTTTTGTATACCCAAACTCAGCGCCGCATAGTGTTATAATATCACAGTTAATATAATTTTAAAAAATACAACACTATGCGGCGCTGAGTTTGTGTATACAAAAATGTAATGCCTTAATAAAGGTTTTGCATTCAGCCAGCGGAAATATTGGCAAAATAAATCTTTTATTATATGAATCCAATATATGCCTTTTTATTATTTAATGAATTAAATATGGATTTCTCTATTTTTAATACTTAATTATTGCTTTAGGAAAATGTAGATATATATCGGAACAATTTTGCAAATAGTCAATAAGTTCAGAATTGAAATAGTGCACAACACAATAGACATCATGAAGAATTACATTAATGATTGATCATAAGATAGAAATTGATTCCTGACCACCAAGAAGTCTGAAGATTTGTACACTTTTATTGTTAATTGGATTGAATATGTATACAAAAATTCAGACTTCTATGTGGTCTGTAAAAGTATATTAAAATTTGATTACAAAATTGTTATAGCAAATTCAATATGATAGACCTTTAATATAATTCATACACACATACTGTTGCATCAATTTTAATGCGCCCTACATTTATTCAAAATATGATATTTAATATTTATTTAAAACAGAATATTTAGATTATCATCATTCCTTTTTATAGTTTCATTCCTTTTGTAATATTGTTATTGTATATATATCTTGATTGGTTATTGGAGCGAGAGAGGACCTAGACGAAGACTGCGGATCGCGACCTACGAGGAAGACCACGAATAAATAAACACAATAACTTTAAAAGGTAATTTATTTTTATTTACTTCTCTTTATTTGCTTTGAGTATGGAAATCCGCTCGGTGTATAACACCAAGAAGGAAGAAACCAAGGTCAATGACCCTGCAATATATATAGGTATTAGATGATGTCTAAATATCATATAAGAGTAAAACGACATTTGAAAATTATATCGCAAGTGTTTCTTTTCAACGAAAAATCAAAATTTATTTTTTAAAGAGAAATAACGATTATTTCTAACCTTAGGAATGAGGTATGAAAGGATAAATTGTGAAGAGTAATGATAAACGGAAAAATAAAAGTGTTCAGGGATGGGAATCGAACCCACAGTGTTCCGCTTACCGGGCAAATGCCATGTCCACTAGGCTACCCTGGACATATTTTCCGTTCGTAAATAATACATGAATTAATTTATAATACAAGAGCTAATCTAAAAATATTTGTTATTAATTAATAATTTATGATGCATTAGTGCGCCAACTGTTATTTTTCCATTGCAGAAAGGGCAGTAGAAATTGTCTTATTTTTAAAAAAGAATCATACGCGTCTATAATAGTTTCCAATTAATAATGTGTTGACACTTTCCTATTTACATACAAGATATGCAACTAAATATAACACAGGTAGAACTACTGAATCATTTATGATGTTGCTCAAACCAATAATATTTCAAAAACAGAGTTTTAAGTCTTCAAGTGATCGAATCGAATGGCAATATGAGGATGAACTATGATTGTATTTGATGTGAATATGAAGGTACAAAGAGATAAATCCACACAACTTTGTGGTCCTATAATCTAACATAAAATTCCTACGAACATCAATAGTATTCAATAAATGTTTAGAAATGGGATATTATCCGCATGATTGGAAAAAAATCACACTTGAAAATATTTCCAAAACTAATCAAAACTGAATACGAAGAAAATAGAAGTTATAGACCTATATCATTGACATATTTTTTTTTTTTATCCCTAGTACACATAGTACAGGCCATGATAATCATGGTGGGTAGAAGTAGGCGACTGCTTTTACTGTAAGTGCACCACATGTTTACACATGTGAAAATCAGTTCGACTTTGCACTTACAAATGAGCCCCGTTTGGTTACTTGCACTCGCTTGTGGGGTTGAAATTTTGCAAGAATCGGGGGCCATTGGAGCAATTTTTTTTTTTAATCAGAAAAAAATTCCCAAAGCGGGAATCGAACCCGGGTCGAAGCAATCGAAAACCAACGGTTTAGACCATCCTTCCACCAACCCCCTCTAAACTATTTGAGAATATAATTAAAAATAAATTAATTAACTATTATTTAGAGAATGATTTAATGAGCTCAAGGCAACACGGTTTTATGAAATCTAGATCAACAAATACTGGAAATGGAAAAAATAAGAGAAACTATAAGGTAGCATAAACAAAATGAACCGACTTACTTGATAACCATAGATATATCACACACACAAAAGCCTTTATTAAGACACACAGGTCTTACAGAGGATTCTCCTTGGGGTTACAAGACGGAGAAATCTATGAAAGTGGGAAATAGACAAAGGGGGTAAAAATGGAGAAAGATTATATACACATGGTAAATATATACAGATTATTATTTGAATAATTCTATGGAAAATAAGAACAATTTTTTTTTTTTGAAATATGGATGGGAGAAGTGGAGAGCGAAAAGAGGAAAGAAAACTGGTATTTACATATGGAACATACATATAATGGAACATGTCACCATAGATATATCTAGCTCATTCTACAATGCATAGTAGCCGGCGATCATTAAAAGATTGAAAACCAATAATAGTTTTCCTATGACAATTAAAAATAGTTTATTTAACAGTAGGGAGAAGGTTTAAAGCCATTTGAAAAATAGTTTACTATTAAATTATTCTCGATTTTATAGCCTTGAAAAACAG